TTTTGTGGTTGCTATGGATGATAGTGTTATCCGTCCTTAGCAATTGTCCAGCAGTGTATTAACGTCGCACTGTTCAGTGACGAACCTCGTAATTTTGAACCATGGTCAAGTGACGAGGACGACACTTGAGCTGGCATTCCCTCTCCTAACTACCACACCAACGGGAGGACGTTTGAGCTCTCGACAGATTTAACGTGCATCGCTCCCCTACACGGCGGGTCTTCAGTGGTACTGGACTCGAACTCGTGACATGCCAGCCACAATCCGATACCTTGACCACTAGGCTACCACGGCCCTTTTGCGTTGCTCAAGGAAACCATCCAAGGACGAGTAAAGAAGCTTTTAATTCTTTTGACGATTAGTCTCAACTAATGTGCCATAGCAAGGCTGAGTACTTTGATATGACCACTGAGAACAAAAGCACTCTTTGCTTTTCTGTCAGCAATCTATTCACAGACGATGTCTTCCAACTCAGGATCAGGAAATAATGGTTGCCGAGACATGATCAACAAGACAAAGATTTTCCTCATTCTGATTGCCCATTTCGGACCGTTTCAAGATTCAACCTCTCTATAGAAAAGTGTTAAATTTTTACTTCTGGAGTCTTCCAGAATTATTTTCTTCTATTTGACATAACAGCTCTTTTTACCACTCATTTGAGACTTGGGGTATATTATATTCATTTTAAATTTATAATTCAATCAACCGCTAATCGGTCGTTCTAATCAGTCGCAACAAAGGCTATTTGTTAACAAATATGACTCTGTGTTGTATCTGAATTTGAATGTCAGTTCGGTAAAAAAAAACAAGTCAGACTACAGTTTGGTTGGCAATTTGAACTAAGGTTTATTTTTAAGGATTTGATTTTAATTAACGTCGCATTGCGAAGCAATATGCGAGCTACTGGCGAAGGACCTCGTAATTTTGATTGATTGATTGAATATTAACGTCGCACTGTTCAGCTACACGAGGGCTTTTGGCGACGGACCACATAATTTTGAACCATGGTCAAGTGACGTGGACGACACTTGAGCTGGCACCCCCTTCTCCTAACTACCACACCAACGGGAGGACGTTTCAGCTCTCGACAGATTTAACGTGCATCGCTGCCCTACACGGCGGGTCTTTAGTCGTATTGGGCTCGAACTCGTGACAAGGCAAGCCACGATCCGATACCTATACCACTCGGCTACCGAGGCCACCTCGTAAAATTTTGAACAACGGTCAAGCGACGTGTAAGATACCTGAGTTGGCACTGCCTTCCCAAACTACTATACCACACCAACAAGAGGACACTGAGGCTCGACGGATTTAACATGCACCAGCCCCTCTATAAGGCGGGTTTTCAGTGGTACTGGGTTTCGAACCGCCATTCGACAACGCCAGTCACGAGTTGGCGACCATGACGACTCAGCTACGGCAGGCTTATTTTGGGAGTAGAGCTTTATATTGCAAGCATTCTGATGAATCATAAAAGGGAGCGCTTGGTTTTCCTTTAGGTTTTATTTACGAAGAAACACAATGTGTCTATATATACATAAACATTACAGTAGTTCATGAAAATAAACATTAAAATAACGTATACTTAATAAAAATTAAATGAAAGAAAACACTGGTTACAATTTGCAATATGTTTACGTTTAGCTTTTTCGCGCATAAAGCTATAGAGGCATATTCAAATACAATTCTAGGCTATTTAAACGTTTACACCAGGGGTGTTCAACTCAAATGCTACCTTGGGTCAAACAAATAAGGTTCAACCTTAGGTGGGCCATAAAAATAATCATTATTCATAGAAACGTAGGTTTATTTCGTATAATACATTATAATAAGCATACATAAAAGAACAAGAAAAATTTAATGTTTACGTCCTGACACATGAAATCTCTTCTCTGCTACTATCCTTCCTATTTCGAGAGATTTTTTTTTTCATTTTATTATGTTATTTTGTGCCGATATATTGGCCGGGGCACAAAAATATTCGCTATGGACCACATGCGGCCCACGAGTTTGACACCCCTGGTTTACAGTATAATCAATTCAGTGCTAGTATGGGATCTACCTATTAAAACTTCTTGTCGTACGTCGCTGTAATTCATCTCAAACATAAGTTCATGTGGTAATGATAAATATACCCCTTTATCGCGTAGTGTCTTTAGAATTCAAAAATGTTCGATAAATATTCGATATATATATTTACTAGCTGTTACCCCCCTTGACTTCGTCTACGTGGAATTTAACAAAAAAGTGTTTATTCAATTCGCAGAGTTTACGAAAACTTAATAATTATGTATTCCACGTAAAGAAATACCTATGCTATACGTATAATGTCATTCTTCTACTATGTGAATTAATGTTTCTTTTATATTTTTTTTTCTTTGTTTTTTGTTAATTTTTGGGATTTTTTGTATTAAATTTTTTGAACAATCTCTCTAAAATTTAATGAAAAAAATCTCTCTATATACAGTATTAAATTTGTCAATTTTAAAGTAAATAAAAAAACTGAACTATTTTCATGAAAGAAAACCTAACGACAACATTAATTTCTAATTATTACTTAAACCTTTCCAAGTCCAGCATAAGGATAAAGAAGCATTTCCCTAGACCCACGCGTTCCGAGAGTATACGCACGCACGGAACCGGGCTAATTTCCCGGTTAAGCCTAATTTCATCGGATATTGTTTACTATTTCATTAGTTTTAATTTTGTTTTAAGCGGAACCCTATTCCCCCTAAAATAAAAGTATAGCCTAAGTTACTCCTTATAACTTTAGCTATCTGTCAGTGAAAGTTCCGTCAAAATCGGTGCAGCCATTTCAGAGATTAGCCGGAACAAACAAAGAGACAGACAGACAAAAATTTTAAAAATTGATGTTTTGATATAAGTACCGGATATACTTCAAATGCATTTAGTAAAAAGCTGGAAATTTCAAATTACAAACAGACACTTCAATTTTATTTATTAGTATATGTGACAAAAATCTGTTTTATATTTGTTCCAAGTGTAAAGAAAAATGAATTGAATCATCATCATATCCGGCAAGACACCCCCTGGTGGGAAAGTGCCTTCCTTTGAAGTTTCCCCCACAGAGACATCTCATTCACCTTCGTTCTCAAAGTTTTCTCATTTATAATCTTAGTCTGACTCCACCAGTCAGTCCATCTCGTACTTGGTCTTCCATGCTTCCGAATTCCACTGTGACTCTAAACTGTAGTATCTTTTTCACAACATTATCATCTGGCAATCGAATTATATGGGCCATGCTATTCATTATATTTATTTTTATGTGTTTTATGGGGAACTGGTACGACTTATACGCAAAACATTTTAATTTAAGGATTTTTAAAAATTTTTGGTTGCCTCCTATGTGTGTATACTATGTAAAACAGATTTTGTGCTCAAAATTTCATAAGAAGCTAGCCATGTAATTTTTTAAGGGAAAAACTTAAAATTTGTCAAGTGATTTTAAAATGCTGCTACTCCCCTACAAAAATTTACGTAAACGCATGAAATTTGATTTACAAGTACGACAAACTATGTGTAACAAAAGTAGGTATGGGTTTTGCGATAACATGATTGGTATTCGTACAATACCTCTTTTTATGAATGCTTATTGAAAATTTCTTAAATAATGTATAAATTATGTGTTCAATTATTTTTTAAAAATAAGTATTGCTTTGATCCAACAATGCATACCAACTTTTGTTACATGTACTACTGGTAATGGGTAAAAAAAAAAAATCAAAGCATTTGACACAATAGAAAAAAAGCCTTAGCATTTTAAATGAAGACAAACCAGTTATTTTATCTTTCTGAGATAAGTGAGTTTAAAGTTCTGATTTGCCATAGGGATGTGAATAAAAACGAACGTAAAAACTATCACAATCATGCATTTTTTAAGTTTAGAGCTTTCAAATTTTGTGAGGTTATAGAAAAGTATATAAAGAATAATTCAGGCTAAAAATATATTATTTGATTTTTCGACCGATTTTGGTCAATTGAATCGTACTGTCCCCCCTAATGATAAGGTTGTTTATAAATTCTCAAAATTAAAATTGTTTTAAAAATGTGAATATCCATAGCACAGTAAAAAATGAGCATATTAAAATCGGATAGTTTCTCTATTCGAAAAAGTGCAATTTAAATGACTTTTTACGAGGGACAGAGAGTTTTAATAAATAAATAAACACTGCCATGAATAACGAATAAAAGTAATTAAAAAATATGAATACTGTAAATTATTCAAAAAGTAAGAGGTATTAAAAAGGAATAAATAGGAATCAAAAGAAATAAAAGGCCCATGTTTTGGACCATAAAAAATTATTAAAATATATTAAAACCCACATACTTCGCAAATTAAAATCAACATGTGATGGTAGATTAAAGAAAAGATAATCAAAAAGAGGCAAATATAGCGCATACAGTTCCGCATTTATAAAACCATTCCAGTTACAAAATATTACTTTAGAAAACTAATTAAGAATATGTCTTTAATTTTTTTCAGCTTTTGGAACGTAACACACAAATTAACGAGGAATCGATTTTTCCCTTAACAACCTTTTATTATTTTTTTTACGCGTACATACACGCATCTAGTCGTAAAAGCACATTAAAGTCAAAAAACATTAACTCCGCTTTTCCCTTTCAATAAGTATCTAAAATGAAAAGTTGCGGTACTTCACACGAAGCTAACGTCACAAACGAATAACAAACAAGTAATATAAAAAAAATTAATTCAATTCCTACTTAAGTCAACAAAGAAAAATTTTATTTTAGTTACTTTTTATTAAATAGTTACAATTAATATAAATATGTATATACATATGACAGAATCACAATATTAAGAGACAAAAAAAGAAAGCGATTTTCCTTGCAATTTTCCATTTTCCTTTCTATATTAGGGCGTTGATTTTTTTTTGTTTGTTACTGTTTATTCATTAATTAAATTTAATTATTCTAATAGTATAGTAACAAAGAAATCACACTCCTAGAAATTAAGTCATCCCTTTTCGGATTCGAACCCACGACCTTTGGATTAGAAGTCCAACGCGCTATCCATTGCGCTACAGGGACACAACGAACGATTTGCCTTTCCATATAGGCTGTTAGGCTATCATTTTTGTTTGTTACTATTTATTCATTATTTAATTTTATTAATCAACTAATATTTGATAAAACTGTATTAAAATCAACTGTCATCCACTACAAGTTTAAAAGGTGTATTTGAACTTCAAGGGATGAATAGAAAGTATTTTATTAACGATTGAAAATTTGAACAAGATATTTATCGTATAAATAAATATATATAGAGAGAGAGAGATTGAACTAATGGAGTATAAATTGAAAAAACATGAAATATTTGAAATAGAATAAATACAAATTAAAAATTTAAATCATTTACATTCGGACCCCTACTTGACGAATTTCACGATCTAACGAATTTTTCTTTTCTCCCGATAAAAATAAAGTCAAAAAAAAAAACCTCCATTAAACGATTAAGAAACCAGGAATTAAAAGATTATTTCAACAGCCTAAAAACTTTTTTTTATATTAGTGTGGATTACGGAAAAAAATTAATTTCTTTTCAAATGACATAACCTAATTGTCAGGGAAACAAAAAGACTTTTCTAGTAAGCAGCAAATTTCGAATGTAAAGGGTGCATCCCATTATTAGACTTCAAAGATGTAGTTGAACTATGAGTATAACCAAAGAGCTTTCTAGAAAGACTTCTTCAAGACGGCCTTGGTATAACAGAGCGGTACTTAACCAGCGGCCCAGCGAGCCTTTTTAAGTGGCCTGGTCATGGCCCATTGCTCTGAGAAATTCAGTTATTGAAGAACATTCTATTAAAAATTTGTGTGTGTGACGCGAAATTCTTCTTCTATAAATCAAATACATAAATTTTGCTTTTTGCTGTCGGTGTCGCACGGGTACGAATAGATATTCTTTTTTCTATTTGAAACGTTTATGGTTAGTGATAACAAACAGTGGAGTAGCGACAATTTTATGGATGGAACTAATTTTTATATCTTACAAGTAAAAAATATTCGAAGAAAATATTTCATTTTTAGACGATTGGGAGGTTGACTATTTTGTAGTGAAAAATAACCATGGATCAGTAATCGTTTGATCACGAAAGGGCTGAATTTAAAAACACCAATAAACAGGAATCATATAATGGAATGACATATTTCCTCGATCTCTTTCAGGCTGTGATAAATAGGATTTATTGAATAATCTTTGCAACAACAAAGTTTTTTTTATGAGTGGTAATATCACAACGGTAACAAATATATCCTACGAAATTTGTTACATTATTGGTTATCATATGAAACCATTTACTGATGCAGAAATTGTGAAGTAGTATTCTTTAAATGCTTCTAATTTAGCATTAGTTACAAATATAAATAACTACAAAAAATAATAATTAAAAAAAAAGCAAAACAGGGGTTAAAATATTTTGATCCATTTTCCACATTTTAAATTTCCAATTCTATCTTGGTTTTAAAGCATTTTATCACTCCCTCTCCCCCATTTATCCTCAAGTTGCGGCCCGCGTGAAATAACTAACATATGTATGCGGCCCGCATGAAGTAGCTGACATACGTATGCGGCCCAAGAGAAAAAAATGTTGAGTATAACCTAATATAACTTGTCACGTGAGTTTTGAATAGGACAGGAAATTCCTTTCTGGAAAAATACGATCAAAACTATTACATTTTCGAATGATTTGCATTGTTTCGAATCTTTGAAAGCAAACCTCATGCAGTTGGACGTGAATGACGCAGCATTTTCGTCTCTGCGTAAAGTCGAAAAGGACCCGCTTCGAGTCAGGAATCTAAAAGATTGTTGAAGATGTATTAGTCAGTATTTTTTAAAATCTTCAATTAACTGCTGCATAATTATTCACTAACAGTTTTTTTGGCTGCTGAGTGAAACAAGAGTAATTTAACTAGTGTGTGTGCGCGTGTGCGTGTGTGTGTGTAGTTGCTTATAAAAGAATTTCCAAAAGGTAAGAGCACAAAAAATGCACTTTTTTGCCACAAAATTACACATAACACTGAATTGATGAATAAAATTTTCGTTCCCGATGAACTCGTAAAATCGGGGTCTGACTGTATTTCATAGCAAATATGTAACACAAGCTATAAAGTAATACTTAACATATTCAAATGTATTTAATAACATTTTCACAAATAAATTATAATATTTTACTCGCTAGAAGTACTATAGCATCTTTAAAATGAAAATGACGAGTTTCAAAAGACCTCCACTTTAATCCAAAATGTAATCTAAAGTAATGCTCAACTTGGATATTAGATTCTTGCCTACACAGCATCTACGAAAACATCCTCCTTCCACTTAATTTAAATAAATTCAAGCTTAAATTTATTAAACCCGACGATACGAATAAAATCTAGAAATAAGCTTCAGTTTATCCTTTCCAAATTGATAATCCACTAAAAAAAGGAAGGAGAAATAGAATGCCACCATTATTGAGAGTGGCGGGGAGGGATTATTTCTACACGAGTGTCGAGATATGTTAAATTAAACAATCTGATTGAAGTTAATAATAAAAAAAACTGATTGAAATTTATACAATAAGAATTTGATTGAAGTTAATAATTAAAAAAAATTATACGTGCGATGAAAAATAAAAACAATGAAATTTAAAATTTATACATTGCTTATTCTTAAGATATTTTTGATACACAGATCTATTTTTATTATTTGATGCATACGTAAAAGAGAAAAGTAAATTAAATATTTCAATTTTTAAAATTCCCTTTCAATAAGCCCTAAAGTGTAAATAATTATTATTATTATAAACGTTACCAGATTAGCATTTGTATTAGAAAATCCAATTCTATACCCTGAAAGATATATACAAGTCATAAATAGGGATAAAAAAAAAAGAATTTTCTTGGGTTATTTATCAATTTTCATAAAATAAATTAGTCTTGTTGATAAACCTCCAACGAATGCCATAATTCGCCCCAGGGTTTCGAAACGCTGTATTAAAATAACTACGACGTATACAATAAAAAAGAATATTTGAAAGCATACAGAAACAATTCAAGTTTTATAACATGTGCTGTCTAAAATGTTGATACTACCATGTTGAGAAGAGTGGCAGGAAATGGGCTAAGGCAGTGATTGCCAAAGTGGTCTATATAGACCCCCAGGGGGGTCTATGATGACCTGCAAGGGGTCCACGTCAGCAAAAAAGAAATAATAAGTTAGGGGTCCATGAGACGGAAGTGGAGGTCTATGTGTGTGATAGTGACACTCATTAAACAGGATCGTGTGTGTGTGTGTGACTTTAAATTTAAAAGAAAATTTATAATCAAGTGGGAAACCAAATTTTACCTATTTAACCGATTCATTCACTAGATTTAATGAGGTTAATTTGCATTTAAAAGGTGACAGCATAATTTTTTTAAAAACAAAAACCATTTCAGCGTTTTTTTCCAGAGTTAAGCTAAAAAAGTATAATACTGGAGGTCCTGAATTTTCTCAATTTGTCACAGACAATCTGTCAGGGTGTTTTAACCTACGTTCAACATTTAACTGCTTTTTATTCAGATTTTGAAACCGGGTTTGAGAATGCGTTGACTATAGTAATACAACAGTAAGTAATGAACTGATATGGTCACATTGAGAAAAAAATGTCACATGACAATAGGAACTTATCGTAATATGCACTAATGAAGATCTTAAAGTTTAGAAACGGATATAAGCAATTTTGGATTTAAAAAAGCAAACCTGTTATTTGTCCCGAATTATGGAATATCGTGAGGAAGTTTTTAATTGCTTTTCCTAATGAGAAGGAGTTTGAGCACGGTTGCCAATCTCCAAAACAGAAAAAGAAGAAAAAAACTATACACTACTAACAAAAGAGATTTAAGGTTAAACCTGGCAAGATTGATACCAAATGATTTTAGCGCCAAATTCATCCCTCCCACATTAAAATAATTTGTTTATTGTTTGGTTATTTTATTTAACAGTTATTTTATATATTAACTTTTAGTTTAATTAGTTAACATGTGATTTTTTAAATTTTAAACACTATATTTTCCCTAATTAAAAATTTAATTCTTTTAAAACAGTAGTAGTACTAGCTGTCAAAAAGACATTTAAGTTGATAAATTTGCAAAAATTCAATATTAATTAAGCAGGGGACTAATCTATACCGAAAAACATGGCAAGGGGTCTGAGACAAAAAAAGTTTGGGAATCGTGTAACCAAGGTTTCACATATAGAACACATGTTAAGTACGTAAATAAAACTTGAATTGTTTATGTATGCTTTTAAATGTCGCTTTTTACTGTATTCGACTTAGTTTTTTACAATAGCGCTTCAAAACTAGGAAGGGAATTATGTACAATATAACCCTACGCAGTGGCGCACACAAGGGGGGGTCCTGGGGGTCCAGACCCCCAAAGCCCTTGATTTTTTCCGATTGATTATAATTCTAAGTATATAGTACGTAAAATTTAATTAATTACTTGTTATTAATGATTAATTTTATTAAATTAATGGTAATTATTTATTCAAAAATTAGTTTTTTACTGTCTTTTGTTCCCGACAAAATCAAAAGGAGCATGATACAAGAATAGTGAACTTTCGACCCCGGACCCCCCTTGAAAAATTTCTGTGTGCGCCACTGACCCTACGTATTCATTCAAGATTCTATACCTTAACAGCTGTCACATGCTCCTAAACTGTTTTTATTACAGCAATTAACTCACCTGATGTGTAATTTGATTTGAATTTGTTCATTTAACAACGAACTGAAGCAAATTGGCAGGGTGATTGCGTACAAAGGTAGAAAAACACACAAAACGGATAAAAAATTCCAGCTTTCACTACAATCCCAAAACTTTCACACCGAATGACATACTGATTTTGAAAAGTATTTGATTTTAATAAGCAGTAATCTACATTATTTCATAAGCTATTTATGATGGAACTGAATTTCGAATAAGTGCCCTCTGTAATTCATAAATTGCGATTTTGTCACGAAGCAATGGTAGCGTATAAATTCAACAGGGAAGGAAATAAATTTTAC